TAAAGTGTATCCTAGTGTCAGTTTATAGGCCCTCAATGTTAGGACTTAATAGAATAATATGAAGGTATAATGGGGTTCGTTGAAGTATATGGGAAACATCAGCTGCTAGTGATCATGGTGATCATGGTGGTGGTGATGATTGGTGATAAATATTGATGATGAATGATGATGGTGGTGATGATTGTATTAGTGATGATGATGAAGATGATGAAGGTGATGATAGCGGTGTTGATGATGAAGGTGATGGTGGTGATGGATGGTGGTGGATGATGGATGGTGGTGGATGATGGATGGTGGTGGATGATGGTGGTGGATGATGGTGGTGGATGATGGTGGTGGATGATGGTGGTGGATGATGGTGGTGGATGATGGTGGTGGTGATGAAGGTGATAGTGTTTTGGTAATGTGATCTGTACCAGTACCAAGACTGGACCTTTAGGAAGAACTGATAGAGCTATCTAATATAACTAAAGTCAGTTTAGTTGCTTTCTTCAGTTTCCTAACCTAGTCTACATACTTACAGGCTGCAGAACGTCACCCAGACTGGCCAGTCCTTGGACCCAAAGAAGCCAAATACAGTCCACGTGAGTTTTCCTCCGATCAACTGAAGGAGGGCTTGAATGTCATTGGTTTACAGATGGGTACGAACAGGGGCGCTTCGCAAGCTGGTATGACCTTCGGGAAACAACGCTTCATTATCGATTAATCACCGAACATTTTCATCAAAATTTCACGCTTTTAATGAAATGCTACCGTGACTCCAGATAATTCGCGCACCTTATTATTTTCATGCAAAATTTGCTTCAAATTATTTTGTATTAGTCCATTACTAAGACTAAATTTTGATCTAGGCAAGAAGAACAAAATCCATCACCACAGCTAGAAAGAGCATGTTAAAGTTAGTAAAATTGCAAAGGTTGGCCACGAAATGTTGTAAAATGAGGAAAATATAGCCCTACGAAATTTGCAAATTTTATTCTTCTTGCCTAAATCAAAATTTAGTCTATAACTGGAATTGCCCATTCTATTGACCATGAATATTCTGAATGGCCCGATTCTACTATAGACGGCCAGAATAGCTTGTTCTGCTAACCATTTTCCATATACTGTACTATGTAAATTCGTGTGATACTATACGTATATATAATTTCTGTAATACCTATAGCGTGATAATATTAGTATAAATTTTAAGTTTCATAGGTATTCCTTTCGTTATGGACAATTTATCATAATGTAATAAGTCTGTATTAGCTTGTAATGGCCGTCTATTTGAAGGCGATGATGGTAAAGGTTGGGGGAAATATTGAAATTAAAAATTTTTGCATCAACGTGATTTGCTTGTGGTTTATTTTAGAAATATCGTCGTTTTGTACAAAGAAGAAATTGTTTAGTTATTTACAGGGACATGTGTCTTCCTACCAAACACAGAAATTTTCTCCGATTGCAAGTAATCAAATTGGTTTGTCAAATTGGTTTGGTGGGGGCTGGCACCGAAGAGAAATGTTTTTCTTGAAAAAAATTTTTTGCTTATCCAACTATTAAAAAATCTTTCGAATTTTTTACCTAACCTCAAATATCAATTAAAAAGAAATACCCACTCCTGGCGAAAATCGTTTCAAAAGGATACCATTCAGTTGTCACACATGTCCTTTACTACTTCTGTGACACGAGTTTGATAACTGCTTGTGCAATTTTCTGCAGTATAAAGTTTTATATTGTGTCTGCACATGTACTTTCTTTGGAGACACCATTTGCCTCCTGACAAATCAGAAAATTGATGATTGATTTACATATCGTGTATTAACATATGACTGTTGACATTGCTTTTTAGTCTTCTATATTTGAATGAGTCATGCTTTGGAAATGACAATAAATTTTTATTACCCAACCCTTGAGTTGTTTCGTTTTTCATTTACCCAACCTTTTACTCACTCAAAATTTTGTTTACCCAACCCTTTTCTCTTCGGTGCCCTAAACTCCCCATGTAATCATAGTTAATGGAATAGATGGTTTGGAAACTCATTAGAATAACAATATAACTCACTATCTATGTTAGTCAACGTTTATTCATAAATCTGGTCGTTCACCGTCACGTGTGTATTGTATTTTTGCCCAACTAACCAATAGCAATGTTTTAGGAAAGTTACCTATCCGCGACTCGAACAATAGAGTAAATTGGAAATTACTATTGGTGGATTTGGCAAGAACACAATACCCACGTGACGGTGAAAGACCAGATTTATGAATAAACGTTGACTAACATAGATAATGAGTTATGTTGTTATTCTAATGATTTTTGAAACCATCTATTCTATTAACTATGATGTAATCAGCCTCTTAGTGGAAAGCTGACATCCAAAGACCGCCATACCATATCACTTATTATACAAACTAAAAACTACGCCGTGTTGTTAGAAGTTGCCAAACTGTTGACTAATACAATATTCGCTGAACCTTTTAACCCCTCTGTAGTATCTGTGGATACATCCTGCTTGCAGGCGGGCAGGACACCCTGCTCGCGGGCGGGCAGGTCGTCACCAGCACTCTCAAACTTATCCTCAGGCCCCTCCTCCTCCATTTTCGCGCCCACCTTCCGATACGGTCTCCTCCGGGTCGAGGTAGGAGCAGTCCCCGACCCTGCTGTCGAAGCTTCCGACGACACGCTACCCTGTATCGAAGACCCACTACTAATACTATCATGCGGTTTTATCCTTACCGCCGAATTTTCTTCGACAAATGTCCCCAGTTTCGATTGGACCGGATTATGCGGGACATTTTTCTCGGGCTGAAAAAGTATCACGTACACTTTCGGCAAAAACATGCAGCCCAAAGCCACACTTGCTTTCAAACTTTGAAAAATGCAGAAGACAAGCATCAGATTCTTGCCCTCCATACCGGAAGTCGTGATGACGTATACGATGATGTTCATCGATATGGTTACCATGGTGAAAGTGATGTAACGAGCCTCGTTGTAGTTCTCGGGCACTTTGCGTACGAGGTATGCTTGGTATGTGCAGACGAAGATCATGCCACATTCATAGCTCCATAATAGCACGTGGAACAAGTCGTTTTGGAACGTTCTAAAATTATGAGATTACGTTTGATTAAACAGGGGTGTTGCCATGAGGGGCGGATTGCACTGGGCGGATCTAGCCTCATCTGCAAGGAGGGGTGCAGGTTTTCCATGAGGATTGAGGAAGCCTTACTGCCCACTCTCCTCTGCAGTCTGGAACGCTAATATGCCAACATTACTATTACATGAGATGACCGAATCTGCATGTGCGCCGTTCTGTTACGTTTTACATTTTCTTTTCTTTATCAAGTTCATATTGGTGGATTATCATACTTACTTTCCAAAGAAATTACAAAGTAGAAATGCTTTCTTGCTGTCTCCTTGCATGATATACGTGACTTTCACTTCGCCATTTTCAGGCTGGAACACAAGAATAATGGTGGACAGTGTGAGCTCGATCAGAACCAATAACGTTATGATGGAAAGCTGACAGGCATTTCCCAAACATCGTGGACGCTCTATACATGTGTGTACAAAGAAAAGAACGTGTTAGTAACTACGATCTACGAGTGTTTCCAGTTTGACTTTACGAAGGGATGGTTCCTACTGGATCTCCAGGGAGAACAGTTTAGACGAAAATCGGGATAGAGCTATTTTCCTTTGGATTTTTATTGGACCTTTTGGATTTTTATTGGACTTTACGTTTCCTCTTGTAGTAACACTGGATCAATAAGAGATGATCCTTACTGGACCTCTAGGAAGAACAGTTTAGAACTGACAGATCTATCCAGTATAAATAAAGTTAGTTTACTTTACGTTTCCTCTTGTAGTAACACTGGATCAATAAAAAATGTTCCTTACTGTACTCCTAAGAAGAACAGTTTATATTAGAACGGATAGAGTTATCCAGTATAAATAAAGTTAGTTTAGTTTAGGTTTCCTTCTGAAGTAACACTGGATGAATAAGGGAGGCTCCCTGCCGTACCTCCAAAGAGATTTATATACTTGGTTAACAGAATTTTCACTCCAAACTATCATCTTCTGAACTACCCCCAAATTTTAAGAATTTTGTACAACCCAACCAAAACATAAAATCACACACACAAAATCAACCTGATTTTCTGAGATCAAGATTTAAAGTCATACTTAAAGTTACATTTCCATATGTCTCCATTCCAAGCTTTGACAAGCATTTTTCCTATTTGGAAGAATTTTTTTGCCTTTGCCCTCCCCTAGCGAAAATTCTTTAAAAAGGCACTGTTATATTCAGTACGAAATACACACCTGTCATGGCACTTTTTCGAAATATCCGATGAATTCTATTCGTCTTCAGAAACAGCGTTCCGGCGACGAGACAGTTAGCAGCGTGGCCAAAGACAAATATCGCAGTACACTGACTGACGTTGGGTTCACGTAATAGAGCTATAAGTATGGCAAAATCCGCAGAAATCCCCACGAGTAACAGCAAAGATAGCTGTCGGCTGGACGCCTTAACGATATGCGAGGCGCTGTACTTCAGGAACACCCCACCGACGAATAGAACGACTGCGACACCGAGACAATTCCAGGCTAGAATCAGAACTCCAGGTGCGCTGCGGATGTCTAGGTATTCGTGTTCTATTTCTGCACATGACGTGTGATTCGAATCGGGCCACTTACTATCGTCACATTGGTCGCAACTAAATTGACCGGAAGTGTTTGTAAACTTGTTCCCAGTACACCTCTTGCATGTCCAACAGCAATCCGGGTGGTCTTCTTTGACAGACTTATACCAACCCGGAGTACAAGTTGGACCACAACTTGAATTAAACGATGTGGGATTGACTACCTCAAAAATCGAATTCGATAAACGTCCTTTACAAGATGGAGTTTCATTTTCTTCTCGGCAAATCCAATTACCAATTGTAGTATTGCTGTATGCCCCGTTACCAATTTCTAGTTTTACCACAGTGAAGCGAGTTACACGTGGGTTCCCATTACTGTCGAAGGATATAGTTTGATTCGTAAGATTGTTGGAGAAATTTAGCTTCTTTATGAAATCTAGAAGCGATCTGTAAAAGTAAACGTAAAAAATTATTTCTGTTACATGGCCAGAAATCGCGAACATAACAGATGCATGACTGTTTGTGGTGTTACTCTAAGTGTGCATCCACACCGGGCAAGCTGAAAAGTCTGCCTGACCACGGTGGGAATCGAATCCGCGACCTTTGGAATACTAGTCCAATGCTCTACCAACTGAGCTACGAGGTCAAGTCGCTTCGAGTTGGTGATATTTCGGAACTGAGTCTAGTTCCTTCGATATCAATGCATTCTAAGATATTTATCATATGATACTTTGTGTGTGTGTTGGTGTCATGTACTCAGGTGAATATGATTGCAGTTGGTAGAGCATCCCAAAGGTCGTGGGTTGGATTCCCGCCGTGGTCAGGCAAACCTTTCAGCTTGCCCGGTGTGGATGCACACTCAGAGTAACATATCACAAACATCATAGAGAGAACTTTGTAGCAAATTGATAAAATAACAACATTGTTACAAGCTGTTGCGAACACATCTTGTTGACAAGATGTGAGAAAATCACGTGTGTAGATTAAATGTATCTGATGCTAATCTCCTGATAAAAGTTTTTCAACCGTTTCAGTAGTTCAAAAACAAGTCACGGCAGTATATTCTTGACTATACCTGTTTTGCATGCTCTTCAGTCTGTGCAGATTATTCCTACACGACTTGCCAGACTGACAACCCAGCATGTTATGCATTCCCATGGCAACAGCATAAACAGCATCTAACACGTGTGGGATATACTTGGAGCACTCAAACGAGCAATTTGGCTCCGACCTGTGGTTGTCCTCGCATTCACGTTCATACTTCATGTTATTTCGATGCACATGAGAGCAGGTCTTGTTCACATCGGCTCTGCCTCCTAGATACTCGTCAAAGCGATCTTTCGAATAACCTTAAAACGACACCAAAACGTCAAGACAATCAAAGATGTAGCAGTATTTCTTGTGCACACGAAATAATTTTCCTTGTCCAAAAGCTGGCATGACTACATAAGCAAAACTGATCTCGCATCTTGTAGTAAGTCTGCGAACAAGTTTGGAACAAGCTGCTAACAACTTGTAACAAGCTTGATGGCATTATCAGACTTGTTACAAGGTTGTTCCAGCAAGTCCGATATGGTCATGTTATAACAATATTGTTACAACCTTGTGTCGTCAAACCTTGTAATATTCTTCTTATATGATGACTATATCAGACCTGTTAGAACAACCTTGTAACAAGTCTGATAATGCGGCCACCAAGCTTGTTACAAGCTGTGAACAGCTTGTTCCAAACTTGTTACAACAACTGGGAACAAACAGTGCGGACACAATTTGTCAACAGCATGCGAACAGATTTGTAACAACTTGTTTGCAGACCTGTAACAACTTGTGCGTTTTTACGTGTGGAACAAGGCTCCCAATTGACAAGGAAAAGTTGTCAATTTTTCCCCCGGGCTTAATTCGCCTAGGACCATCAAATAAATTACGGTTATCTATGTGCATGAGTATGCTGGTCAAATACAAATATAACATTAATAACCTTGTTCGGGAATGATCGTCAGCATGTGTTTAATACTCGGCGAAATTCCAATAAGATCCGACCTTAGCCACAATTCAGACGATATCCATACGTAGCTATTGGCATCAAATGCGTCGCTATTTTCCTGAAAGTACACGAAATCCTCGATTGTTCCAAAGAAAGTGATGACGCGTGATTTCACTTTCTTAATACCTAAATCAGAAGAGGTACATGGATTAAAGGGAGTATGGCCTTTTACCTCGAGCGCAAGTTGATTTGAGACTGAAATTTGCTGTTAATTAAGAGAATCTTTTGTATGTTCCGTGACACGCGCTCAAAACTAGATTCAAATTTTTAAATCAATATTTTTTATACGTTTCTCAAGCGGCAAACAAATTCAAAAAGTATGTTTAGTGCTTTATTTGTAAAATAATGGTAAAATGAAGAGATTTTTGATGGCACGCCAAAGAGAAAATGATGTCTGAAGTTCAGTAAGTTTTGCTTATATTGCAATAGTATAAATATGGCGTCAATTTTACAGCATCAATGACAATAATTGTATTTAAATTGACAATATCTAACTTTTATTTTGTGTTTCTCAACCGCCAGATACATTTAAAAAGGTTGCTAGCTGTGTAAACTACAAAGTAAAGCTAAAACAAAGTCAATTTGAGAGGAACGCCAGGTTTTGAACACCGTTTTATCGCAAATAGGCAACCTTGAAAACTGTTGCCTCGTAAACATCATAGGATTTTTCAATAGAGGAGGGGTCCGGACGTCTAGAAGAACAGTTTGGAACTAATAAATCCATCCAGTCAATCCATATACTTTATAAAAAATATAGTTCTACCTTCCACAACTTTTTTGATATCCTCTCGCCCGGAAGCTTTCGAGAACCTGCCATCGTAAGCTATACATATCTTTGTCTTTAAACGTCTAATGGCCGTTCTGAAGCAGTCTGCAGCATAATGCCCGAACTCATTATCAACATACAGAACCACGACAATGTTCCAACGTAGCTTCAGTATTAGGTCTACCATGACCTGAGTTGCGTCGGTATCTGGGGCGACGGTGCGCAGAAAATAATCTATTTTGTTTAAGGAAGGACTTGTGGAACTATAGCCGATCACTGGAACCTAAAAATGTGAAGAAACTTTGTAGATTTGGGATCCAATCTTACTGCAGGGAAACCCTGTTTATATGAGAGGCGGGACGGGACGTTTGCCGGGACGGGACGATGAACGCGATCCCGGCTCGTATAAATTTCTATTATATTTATCACCAGATGTTTATATGGAAGCGGGACGTTTTTCGTCCCGTCCCGGGCAAGCGGGATCCCGGTTTGTGCAACCGGGATCCCGCTTCAACCGGGACGTTTTCTTCCATGTAAACACTTGTTGCCGGGACGGGATGGAAGGCGGGAAGATTTTGGTGTATTGAAATAAATGACTAGGCTTAAACGAACTTTCAAACAACGGTTAAAGAAACTCAAATGTTGTTAGAAAAGATCTCGTAGTTCAAGAAGATTATTATTGCTGCTTGAACAACCTTTCGCTTACAATTATACTGTAATCTATCACTAGAAAAATAATGTGATTTTGCTAAATCGTGCACCGTGACTTATTTCAATACGTCAAAATCATCCCGCCTCACATCGATCTCGTCGCGGCAAAGCGGGATCATGTAAACAG